GATTTACTATTCTAGAGAAACTATTTTAAAACATTAATTTTGTTTAAAAAGATATCTAGACTCTTGAAAGATTGTAACTTATAATTTCAATATTTTCATGAATAATCTAATTTCTATGTATTTTCAGTGTGGTAATTTCTAATTTCCAGATATGTAGCGGGTAGGCTTGGATAGTTAGGACTCAAAATACCAATAAACCAGAAAAATATTTGAAAAATACTTCAAATCATAAATAAATACTCAAAATATATTCAAATATCTGAAAACCTTGAATTTTACCTAATCTGACTCGAAAAACAAAATATACCCAAAAATTTGATTTGAATATCCAAAAAAAAATATATATATATATATATATATATATATATATATATATATTTTAGAACCCGAAACCTAAAACTGTAACTAAAACTTAAAAGAATATACATCATACCAAAAACATATATGAAATATCCAAACATATATAATAAAAAAAATATTGAGTGCTTTTATGTACCCGATCGGGTCTCGGTTATGATCCATACTAGAATCAATTCCTGCGGGTCTTTAAAGATAGCCAGTAAGTACTTTATCATGGATCCTAGCCGAACCTATATTTTTGGGTCGGTTTGGTCGTGTTTTTCGATCCGGATAAAATATCAAGACCTAGAGAGAGTTACATTAAAAACGTACATATAAAATCTCAAATAAACTAATTTATAAATTACATAATTTTTCAAAAAAATCTATTTTATATATTAAGATTTGTAGCCTAATAATGTACATCATTTCTAAAATACTAAATCATATCAAAATTTCTTTATAATCTAACAAAAACCCGCGCTTTTGAAGCGCGGGTCAAAATCTAGTTAGTCTTAAGTTTAAAGCTCCCTGATTAGCAAAATGGTTTAAAAAGTAATAATAGTTCTACTTGATCAAAAAAGTAATGATAGTTCTACTAATATTAAATAAATAAAAACGGTGTTGCGTTATTATATATTGGAATAAATCTAGATTACTACGTTAAGATCCGAACAAAGCGGCCTCACCAGCCACCACAGCTGATATGTTGGTTTTATTACATTTAGTTTTAGTAGTAAATCTATCCATAAAAATTTCAAAAGGTTCAACCCATGATGAGAATATCCATTAGTTTCCTAATGTATCCTTCTACTTTTGTAAATGTACGGCACTACACACATGACACATCAATAATTGGTCTTATGGATATGCGTTTACCATCAAAAGTTATTTTCGTTTATATTTTAGAGATATCTTTCTCAATATCTCTAAAATAAAGATTTTAGTGGTTGGTCCGATATATATTATCTTGTCAACATGTCTCCTCTTGTTTTTTTTTCTTCTTGAAAGTGATATTGATGTCAAATAATAAAAATATTTATAACTTAATAAAAAATAGAAAATATTTTGTTCCCAATAAGCATTTTAAAACCTAGTAACCAAGTTGTTTGAGATCATTTTCATGAAAATAAATAAATAATCCGGGAAAAATGGAGAAAACTTATAAAAACAGCCACCAAGTTCCTCAAAACGTGTAACGGAGATGGGTGACGTCATCTCACCTCACTACCGTGTCGTCATCAGAGCTATGGTAAACCAATGGGAGACCAGATAAGCTATCATTTTCCTATTATACCCTCAAATCCTCTAAACTAGTCATAACTCATAGTACCCTCCACACCATTATAACTCATATACCTAATTCTCTCTCTCGTCTCTCTTTCTTAAGCATCTTCCTCTCCTGATCAGAGAAAAAACAAAAAGAAAACCCCAGAAAAAAATCTGTCTCTCTTCTCTCCATTATATTACACCATTGTCTCATCTTCAGATCACCATTCCAAAAAAACCTAAAAAGAAAAAAAATCACTTACACATTATTTTGTTGTAACAAAATGGATTCAAATAGTAACAACACCAATTCCATAAAGAGAAAAGTTGTCGACCAACTCGTCGAAGGCTACGAGTTCGCTACTCAGCTTCAGCTTCTCCTCTCTCATCAACACTCTAGTCACCACATCAGTCAGACCCGTATTGGTTCTGTCGATCCGGATCCAGTTGATGAGCTCATTGATAAGATCTTGGGTTCTTTCCACAAAACCATATCGGTTCTTGATTCTTGCGACACCTCCGTCCCTATGGCCGTGGAGGGTTCATGTGGCGATGATTTGGCGGCTCCCGTGAGTTGCAACGGTGGAGATTCAGGAGATAGTAGAAAGAGACTTGGAGTTGGTAAGGGCAAAAGAGGATGCTACACTAGAAAGTAAGTAAAAAAGGTTGATTTCAAGCATAGATTTAATGATTTGTAGTTTTCATTTGTGTTTAATAATGATTTAATCTACTTTTATGTGGATTATAAAAAAACATTATCATTTCAAATTGCTATTTTTTCTCTGTTGATTCCATCATATAATGTGGTAGTGCCCCATACTGAAATGACTATCGTAAAGGTTAAATGACATTAAATTTGGAATTGGATTTGTTCTATAATATGCCAATATGTATATTGAAAATAAAATCATGGTATAGTGATATAGATTATTATGAATACGACTGATTGGATTTGACCAATCAATCAATGCAACCGAATTTTATTTGTTTCAATTAGTGTTGTGATTATGTGCTATTTACCATGGATTTGTACTAACGTATTTGTCAAAATGGTAGTCAGTAATTAATCATTTTTACTGAACTATTTACAGGAAGAGATGGCATACTTGGACTGTGGAAGCTAAAAGAATTGATGACGACAAATATGCTTGGAGAAAATATGGACAAAAGGAGATTCTAAATACCAAATTTCCAAGGTCCCTAGTCCTTATACTTCACACATATGTCTTTATATATAATACATCTGAAATCGAAACATATCAACCTAGTCTGGAATTTATTATAATCATTTGAATTCTGCAATGGTCTAATTCATTGTGATTGTTGATGTTTTTCAGAAGTTATTTTAGATGCACATACAAGCCAACACAAGGATGCAAAGCAACTAAGCAAGTTCAGAAACATGAGCAAGACCCTAATCTGTTTCAAATCACATACATTGGCAACCATACATGTAATGTCGTTAGTGACCAAACACAAGCAAAGACAACCGAGCCTTTTGATCATGGAACAATCATGGACTCGGACAAAACATTGGATGCAACCATTTGTCAGGATCATGTTGATGCAAATATACAAGAGCAAGAAAATGACATCAGTAATCTGATCGTGGTAGGCGCAGGCATGGTGAAAGAGGAGGAAAATAACAATGGTGATCAGAATAAAACTTATCGTGAGAGCTCTTCCACAGATTGCGATTTGTCATTGGCTTGGCAAGACGTGATGATGATGTTTGATGATCATCAACATCATCAGAATCAGAATCACTACTATCTTGGTGAAAGTAGTAATGCTTCTCATCAGTTCCCTTCCATTGACAACGATCAACTCTCCTCCTTATTCGATTACTGCCCTTACGAAGGAACAAATGCTACATGAACATCTAAACCCGGATTAATATTTCGTAATTAGGCTAATAATCATTTCTCGTCCTCTCTCTTTGAGTAAGTTAGTGAAGTGTAATATTTTTGTTGTATGATTGATAAAATACTATATAACATATAATTTCGTTTCTACATTTCCCTTGTTTCATTTATTAAGAACTGGCAATAGATGTTTTGTACTTGGTATTATCAATATGATTCTTGACTAAAAATATTATTTTTCTCACAAGTTCATTTGGATAAATCATAGCTTGACACAGTCCCACTAGATTATTGTTTTGCCTATATGATTGATAGTTCTTTAATCCATGCATGTGACATATGATTACCAAAAGAGTGTAAAGAGACTTATCCATTCAACGTGCGGCTATGAATGTTTGGTGCTAAAAAGTAAGAAACTGGACGCAAGTGCATCTAGCTACTGATGTGCTTTGTCTTTTTGTTGTTGCCCTGACATAAGAATCGCCGTATCCACTAGGGCATTAACTACTGCTTGCTGCAACATTAAAACAAAATCAAACTAGCTGTACTGTCTTCTGTAGTGACCCGAAAATAAATATGTTCCGTACATCTTCTCTTTCATACAAACTAAATTTATTTCACCCCTGTGGCGCAACCGTTCCAAGGATTTTAGTAGTTTAAAATATAACATAGACTAATAGATAAACTTATATAGATTAGATTCAAGATAAGTAACAAATTAGTTCATATATTAAACTACTTTTACGTGTGATTATTAGATACGCAATGAATCTTCTGATACTTGATTGGGAGATATTATGAGTGTTTTTTCGTGTATACCCAAAAACTAAACTAAAAGATAGACAACTCATTCGACACCGTAAACATCTTATACAGATGTCACAATATACGGTTATAAAATAATTGAGGAAAGATGGAGTGCCCTCTCAGTCAACATAACAAGTACTCATGATGAGCAAAAGGGCAAAACGAAGGCCCATGCATGATTAATAGTAACGGTGGATAGGACCAAAACATCCACTCGAATAGCAGATTTTGACACTCACGACCTCTCTTCGATTATTTGGATTCTTTTGTCTGAAAAAGACAACAATCAAAAGGAAGAAACACGCTAACACGTTCATGCCAATTTGTGAGACACGGACAAAATAACAAATTCCCCCTTTTTTGATTTATTATAAATACAAGGAGATTGCATATATAGTTTATCTAAGAAAATGTACCTTATACTGAAACAAGTGTACACATTATATTATAGGATATTCTGATTTTTGCGTTAGTTGCTTTTTTTTTTTGTATATAAGAAGTTAAGAAATATTGATCACTTAATGATCTATATTCCAGAGCCAGTGAAATCTCTTTATGCTAAACTTGAAATAATTTATTTATTTACTTACAAAAAAAAGAAACTTGATGAAGTGAGCTCTTTGTAGAGATTTGTATGTGAATAAGATTTTTTTTTAAAGTAGAACTTTTAAAATTTGTTATGCAAATAGTTAGTTTTCTCACTATTATAAAGAAAAAAAGATCAAAGCCCTAACACTATTTTTTTTTCTTAATTTATTGATTTATTCAAGAAGTTGCATTTGAAAAATTGTTTCTACAATACCTTAAAACAATTGATTTTCCAATAACTAAGATTTATTTTTAAACTTGAACTATAGTCAATTGTATTGTCACCTGAAATAACATCATAATTTGATTAATCAAATATAGAATGAGAAGAAAACTACGAAAATTATTAAAATATAAGGGTGAAAGAACGCCATCTAGCTAGGAACATATCACACTTTCCATTGTTAAAACAAAAAAGAAACTAGTCTAAAAGAATTGGTTCCATTAGATTACAAACTAAAATCACGTGAAATATGCAAAACAATAATAATAGATTAAACTAAACATGTCTTTTCTCTCTAGATTATATGAACCGTAATTGTCTCTGTCGTTGCCGTCACCCAGACGCCGGTAACAGTGAGAATGATGAGCTGGATCAGTAAAAGAGCATATGAAATCCATATTGGCCCCAGTCCCGCCGCTACCAACCATTACAGCGTCGTCCATGTCGAAGAAGAGGGGACCGTAGTCAATGGAATGGCCAGTTGCAGCGCAGTTGCGATTGAGTAGATATGGCAACTTGGCAAGTGTGTGAGCCATGGTTAAAAGATAGTAGTACTATTTTAAAGCATTCCAAAACATGCAAAAAATGCAATAACGAAAAATAATAATTTGGGGTTAGTAAACCAATATTTAAATGAAATTAGAGTTTTATCTGCACATTCGAAAAAAAAATATTTTATAAATGTTAATCATTTATATTTTAGATATAATATTTATATTTTAGTGTTATATATTGTGTAACTCTTTAATTTTATTACTTAGATTTTTTTTATTACATTTAATATATAAAGATTTATTTTATATTTTTAACTTTTCTATTAATTTCTGTTACGTTTTCAAGTTTGGTACAATGATTTATAATCTGAAATAATCAAAACAAAATTTTTTTTAAAAAAATATGATTTTTGAAAATATATGGTTGTCGAATAACTTTTTTTTAACATATGTTGATAACTTTATTTTTTTGTATAAGATTATTACATAGTTAACAAATTTTAACATGTTGTAATGGTAGATGATCTAGTCTATTAAAATAGTGTCATTTTTGTTATCTATTATAATTTGTGGTTAGAAAACCAAAATTTATATGAAAAATTCTTAATCCAAAAACTTATGATGGTGAATATAACAGAACTACAAGGCCCCAAATCATGAATCCATCACGAGCTCTATTCCGGCCCACGTAAAAACAGCACGAGTCGTAAACTCCAGAACGTGACAATAAAATAGCACGAAATGTGAAAGCAAAACACGAAAACGGTCGATCATAATAATTAGCGCCACCTTCCTTCGTTGTATTTTCGTTCGTTTTAATTTCTCAGAGGCCATTAGAGAGAAGTTGTCAACAATAATGATAATGAAGATCAAGAAATCTGAGTCATTAAACTTAAATGAAAAGGAAAGTGTCGGGTAAGAAGAATAATCCTTTTCCTTATCCCTGAGAGGTTTTCCTTTTTCTAAATATGTCAAATCTCGTTTATATAACTAAGCAGCCCACCTCTCTGTATCTTCTTATTATTGTGATGATGATGATGGAAAAAAAACGTAGATTGATGATGACGATGGAATGGCTGCCCCACGACGTGGTAGAGCACATCATGGAGAGACTTCCGGTGAGATCTCTGATGAGATTCAAGTGTGTATCGAAGCAATGGAAATCAACGATCGAATCAAGAAGCTTCCAAGAGAGGCAGTTGAAGCATCAGCAGTCAGGAGGAGGAAGAGATCCAGATGTTCTCATGGTGTCCGCAAGTACTGACGAATCTCTAAGAACACTGGTATTGGGTTCATCCTCATCGGTCAAGATCCCTACTCCGTGGGACAAGGAGAAAGCAACAACATCCTACTTGGTGTCCAATAACAGCTGTGACGGTCTCGTTTGCCTCTACCATCCCTTCAAATCAGGTTACGTTGTCAACCCCGCCACAAGATGGCATCGTCCTCTTCCTCTATGCCAACTTCAACAACTCATGATCTCACAAGGAAAGGCTTACTTTGAGAAGGACCACGGAATCTTTAAGCCTGGATTCGGCAAAGACATAATATCATCTACTTACAAGCCTGTTTGGCTATACAACTCTTTAGAAATAGGCCTTGAAAACGCTACCACGTGCGAAGTTTTCGACTTAAGCACCAATGCTTGGAGGTATGTGACGACTTCCTCTGCTCCTTATCGTGTTGTTGGGGTCGCTGATTCCGTTTTTGTTGATGGTTCACTTCATTGGTTCACTGATTGCGAGGAGACCAAAATTTTAGCTTTTGATCTTCACACAGAGGTTTTCCAAGTCATCTCTTGTAAAGCTCCCTTTCCCGCCAATTCACATCCTTACGCCATCGTCTTGTGCAACCTCGACAATTGTTTGTGCGTGTCACACATGAAGTGGCCTGACCAAGTTATATGGTCCTTTAATTCAGGTAACAAGACGTGGGATAAACTTTACTCCATCGATCTGGTTATGACTTCTATGTTATATAATTCCCCAAAACTATGCGCCTTCCGTCCACTAGCACTTTTGAATGCAAAGAAGAATAAGAAGAAGAAGGATAATAAGATGATACTGAAGAAAGATAAGATGATGAAGAAGCAGAAAAAAAAGAATTTGCTCTTTTATGACAGTATGAGAAGTCGATATCTGATGATACATGACCCCGAAACCGATCCAGACGATTTTACTTTCGCGGCTGATTGCATGGGATTTCTTGTTTGTTATTTCCAGAGTTTGATCTCTATTTGATTTGTCTTGAATAAGGCATTATTTGTAACCCACCTTTCTTTTCGACTTGATATCTTCAACTTCCCAGGTATTTGCTTTCAAAAATTTTCATCTTTTATGTTATTGTAATGTTTGATATTTGTTTAAAGACAGCTGCCAAAAGGTGTGTGTTCGAATGTGTTTCTGAGAAGAAGAATGATGTAAAGACACCATCAATTCGGCATTATATTTTATCTTGTTTAAGAGCATCTCCAAAAGACACTTTATAACTTCAAATATGAAGTTTTTGCTTCTCCAAAAAAGAATTCTAAAACTTCAAATTTGAAGTTTTGATTAGTGAAACTTTAAATATAGAGTGTCACTATTCAAAACTTCAAATTTGAAGTTTCATATTTTATTTACATTTTGGTCCTTATAATTACACATCATATTTATAATAATCTTAAATATTTATTATTTAACGTTTTAATCTTTAAAAATTATTATTTCATAAATAATTTAAAATTATTTTTATAAATATAAAATTTGTTTATATTTTTAAAAAACATCAAGATAATCTTTAAAAAAAATTTTAAAATATTTTGTTTGTATTTTAATATTTAATTATATATATATATTTATAGTTTTATATTTTATTGTAACATTTTATCAAATAATATTTCTATAATATATTTTATACATGTGATAGTTATTTACAAAAGTTTTATGAATATAAATTAGTTATGACAAATATAAAGACCATTATATAAAATATACATAGTTTTTAAGTTAGATTTGAAGTTTTGCTTTTGGAATATAACATGTTCAAATTTTAAATATAGAATTTTGTAAACTCTATAATAGAGAGTCTTTTTGGAGATGCTCTAAGTGGACTCATCTTCACCTGCATCT